AATTTTAACCACATACAATCTAGCACTTGTGGGCCTCAGTTTTCTGTATTATAAAATGGGGTAGCTACGTACCTCATGGAGCTGTTGTGGAGACCAAGTGAAATAATATGGATGGATCTAGCATATTTCTGGGCATCCTACGTACACTCAGCAAATTATGTTCCCCTTCCTTCTCTCACTCCAGTGGTGATTAAATATTTATTAGGAAGTAAAGAATTCCTAAGTACTCCTTACCTATTTCAAAGCAGAGGTATTCTGAGTCTTGATTAATTCACAAAAGGAAATACTACCAGATTAATAAATTTGATATAAAGAGATATAAAGGAAAGAAGCAAAGAAAAAAACTACATATTCTACCTCATTTTAGGACTATGACCCCTCTATTGATCTTTCAGAACATCCTAAGATCAAAACACATCAATATGCAAAGTTAAGAGAGACAAGCATGGGACCCAGTGACCTAAATCCTCAAGGCTTAAAGGAAGACTCTCAGTAGAACCTAACCAATTACATTCCCTTGTAAAAAACATGTACTTCCAGTGAGGAAGACAGATTCAAACAGAGATAGAGGCAATAGCGATGACACCTGTTTAGTGAGCTCTTTTCTTTCTTAAAGACAGACCTTTATTCTCACTTTGGAGCAGCCTAAAAATGGCAGGGAGGGAGCAAGGTGCAAGGAAAAATACACAGCATTTTTGCTAGTAATTCCCTGCATATACATATTTGCTTTAGTTTCTTTGCTTTTTCTTTTAGTACACAGTCATGACACTTACCCCTGATAGGTGTAAAGAAATGAAATCAAACTGTAAAAAAGAAACTTCCTAACAAGTAAAAGCTAAGCAGAAGGTATGGTGAGTATATACACAAACCTAAGTTCAAAACAGAGTGAGTTTTTACATCAAGCCCATTTGGTGTTAGATTCGGGTGTGTCCTAGGGAAATCCAACCAAGGGTGACTCCCAAACTAAGGTGAGAGCACAACTCAGAAAGCTGGTGAGGCCCATAATATAAGCTATATTTTAAAAAGCGCATTAGAGCATCTGCTTAAAAAGATTACCTGATATCACTCCACCCTCATAATAACTCCCTCCTCTTCTACAACCCTGTTTTTGTCTAAAAAAATATGGGTCAATATTGGACATGGCAGGCACCCTAAGATAATGGCATTATAGAGAGACCCGAGTTAAGGGATCTAGCTGACCCACAAGGTAACATCACAGTTTTATGTCCCAATTCTGACAACTTCATCCTTCTGCTAAAGACCCAAGAGTCCAACTGATTTCTTCAAGCCTGCACTTCCACATAAGAAAAATGGAAATCGCCCTATACCTCTGCTTCACTAGGCTCTAAAAATGGAAACTAGCTAAGGAAAAAAATGAATGTGAAGCCCTCTGAAAAGAATAAACTAGATTCCCTGACCTGATTATTGGTCAGAGTCTTGTAAAACTAGAATTACTACTTCTTCCAATTCCATACATGCCACCTGGCCATCAAAGTGACTGATAAATAGTACTGACTATGAAATTGATTCATGTTAAGGTTTTAAAGTAATTGAAACGAAATTTGTATTTTTAACTATTAACTATTTCCCCCCCAAAAAAATTTACTTACTGGCATTATACCAGTAGATGATAAGAAAAATAAGATTAATTACCACTTTTTGAGCCTTAAAAATCTGTCAAAATAGTCAAGTAGCAGGTATAGAACAGTTTCAATCTGATATTGAAGCAACTGTATGAGAACTGGAAATGAGCTAAGACAGAAACAGAAGAAATCACAGAGTAAGTCTCATCTGATGGACCAAAATACAATATGGATTATTTTTATATTGTTCTGTCTGAGTTGTCTGTCTCAGATTCTTAACTTCCAGATTCTATTTTTAAAATCACTTAACACTGTATTTCCAGTAGCCATCAAGGCATATTCTGTCATCCCTGACACCGAAGATTGTCAGCACACTCAATGTGTACACTAATGATCTCAGGCAACAATACCCATCTTCTAATCAAAGAGATCCTTATTCCAGAGGAAAAAGTCTAAAGTTCTCTAAGAAACAATTCTTTCTAAAACATAGGAAGTAGTCATTATAAAATGTTAAGATCAGTAATACCTTGTACTTCTTTCGAAGACTATCGTACGTGCTAAATTTTAAAACCAAAAATTGGCAGGTATTATAACATTTTTAGTTCTCTCCCAAGTCACCAATGCTCTCTTTTAGCCCTGTCAGATAATGATAGCTGCTGTTATAATTTTTTATACAATAGCTGGCAGCAAGTTGTACAGATAGCCTTCATCTTAGAATAGTCATCAAATAACCTAAACAAATTAGGAACTTATAGTAAAACTGACCACTTTCCTAAAGCCAAAATAAGTAGGCTATCGCACCTTATTGATACATTACTGCCAGAATATTAGTTGTTTTATAAAAATCAAAGGTTTTAATTATTCTACTTTTTTCTAAACTGTGTTAAAATATTTTTTTCACTTTTATACATTTATCCTTGTCCTCTCCTTGCTGCTACTGGAGGCTATCCCACTCTATCACAAAGGTTTTCATATTTACTTGTGGCTTTAATACTCAATCAAAACTGCAATTCTATTTTTAGAAGCAAAAGCCCTCTTCAGGAAGTATATTTGAAGATATTTTTTAAATGCTGAAAATAAATAAGCTCTTTTTACTTAAAGTCAACAATACATGCAAAAGGATTTAGGAAAACCAATGATATTGGACATAAGTTACCTGACAGTCATATACACACAAAAAATTATTATAAGTCACAGAGAAACATCAGACTGACCGATTCTAGGTCTCCTGTTCTAATTAACAGACCAGAGTCCCTCTCTACCACTATTTACTTTGGCAATCTAAAATGCTGATATTCTCTTAGATCTAACAGAAAGGAAAAATGGGTATCTTCTCCATCTAACACCTAAGTGGGTAACCTAGATACTGTAAATAGAGGCTACATCAAGGATGCAACAGACAGTTCTGAAGTGAGAGCCAAAATATTTAACCTGCAAGTCTGGAAAAGAACGCGAAAACAAATGCAGCTTAGCCAAAAACTATACTAACATGGAACTGCCACAGGCTAGTAAATGAAATTAAAAACAAAACAAAACAAAACTCTTCACCAAAGATAGTTTTACTATGGTTGGGTGAGAAAAGCTCAAATGTCAAAAGCACAGTTCAAATTTATTTGCTCAAATTGATCATGCCTATGCTTCACGATGTTTACTTAAAATAAATGGGTGAACTGCCTTTCTGAAGGAAGTACTTGCAAAAGTAGAATCATATTCACAAACAAGTAGCCAGTTAACAAGCATTTTCCTGCTGACATTCTCGTAGTGGCTAGGGGATGACAGTCAAAAGTCTATGATTAACATATACTCAATGTTTCTAAAGCCAATAGCTACCTATTAAGCTAACAGAAACTGCACCTCAATTTATTTTTGCTCTTTAGGAAATTAAATGGAAATTATCTGAGAAATAAAAGTATCTATTCTACCACAGAACTAGTACATTAAAATGTTAAAATGTAAAAACTGCATTGCCCACATTAGAGTACTAGTATAACTTTTATTGATTTAAAAGCCAACTAGCAAAAAAATAATGTTACAAGATCCATTATAAAAGATTAGCACTATAATTTAATACACATTTACTCATTATTAACTTTTCTTTCTACATGATAAACGAATTTCAGTGACTGCTTCTAGAATAAAACCTTCCTAAGAAGTTCTTCCCATTAATAAAAAGAAACTTTTAAATAAGTAAATTCACACAGTTAAATCAAAATTTCACATTAATAACTAGAACCACTTAAAGGTAATGAATTGCAACATGTCTTCAACAGTACTCTATATATTTCACTTGTAATTCAGAAGTCTTTACTACTTACAAAGTTGGTCTGTATAATAACCTCAAGTTTTAAGCATTATAAGAGGGAAGTGGATAGGAAAATTTGTTCTCTCCAGATAATCAGAATTAACTTAAGAATATGTTCATAATTCAGTAGATGATTCAGCTTTCATTAGTTATTAAATCTTTACTTTAAAAAAAAGGAAAGAAAATGCCTTTCCTTCACATATCACCCAAATAGAAAATTTTTAAACTAAATTACATTTACATGTAAGTCATATGTCCTCTGTACATAAGAATATAACACATACCAAAAGTATAAGGAAAACATAAGATTTCAAATTACATTTGAGTATGAGTAATAGAGCATTTACATTTGATAACAACTGACAGAACATTATAATTAAGAGACACTAAACCATATTCTTAATATTTTGCCTTCTCTCACAGACAGCATTGTAAAATGCTCTTTCATGACACAAAAAACAATGTTTACTACATCAATGAATGACCCTTTATCAAGAATAGTAGCCAAAATTGTCTATTCCTGCAAGTTCAAAACATCCTTCCTAATTTTTCAGTTCTTCTCTGGACAGCCTAAAACAAAACACTTTCACTTTGTTAGAGAAATGGATGTAAATGAGTTCCACAAATTTCAATTACACTTCACTTCCAATGCTTTGGAGAAGAAACTTCCACATGCTCACAAAAAAAAAATAGCAAGTAACACTGCAATTCAACGACTGATGGATTAGCTTTGTACCAAGCCTATATAAAATTATTTCACTTTTTCACTGTCAAGAGTTCTTTCGAAGTGACGTGTTTCCATATTATTTTCACCCAACAACAATACATCTACTCATAAACCTGGCAAGTCAAAACAATAACCAGCAAAGTCTAACATTTCTTACCTGATACAGGTAAGCACCAGCTCCCAAATGCCACGCTGGGATAGTTCAGACTAGTAAGCAGACTCATGTTTTATGATACTAGGATGAATAGGAATAAATCTGTGTTGTTCTTTCTTTAGCAAAATCTATAGCAGCAGCTACACCACAATGTGAGAGCACCTCACAGACCTCACAAATTCAAGTCTGTCGCTAGAGAAATAGGAAAAAAAAAATCATAAAATGAAGACTTACTGCTTGTCATGTGACTTGGTGAGGCATGCTGTCCATTGGGTGTGCTTGAGGTAAGGTCAATCGCCATACTGGAGTGCTCCCCTTCAGGTGAAAGCTCATTGTCACCTGCTTTCACAAAGTAAAATCTTTTGGTCTCTGTTCATTGGGACATAAATTCTAATTATCAACTTTGCTTCATACATGCAGAGGCAGGCAAAGCCTTGAAATTTTAGTGTAATACGTTTTTCCCTTCACAGAAACTCTAAGGAAATACTATTTAGCAACATAAAGTAAATGAATGAAATGATGAAAAGCCACGACCAGCCCACGATATAAAACATTACAGAATTTTATTATTGCAATGATCTTAATTGTAAAATAAGGGCATCAGATAAGTTGATGTCTTCTAAAGTATTTTTAATTGAAAAAAAAAATAAATTTTCTTTTAACATCTACTTGAATCATTAAATATACAGCATTAATAATAAGCATTTTCCAAAACACTGGCTCTCAGAGACCTGGATGCCTGAAAGAAGAATTGGCTAAAAAAAAAAAATCAGCTTAAGGAGGCTAATTATTTTTAACATTGTATGTCCAAAAAATTAGGTTACAGCATAGAAAATATTTAGTATACACTATATTACTAGTCATACATGTAACCTGACCTATTCTAAACCTAAAATAAGTGAAAAAAAAAATCAAGTACAAAAGTGTTTACCTGCTGAGCTACCACTGACTTAAATATTATCCTTAATACAGCAGCATATTTCCCTATTTCCTTCTTATTTCACTTCTGTGCTATTACTTCCTAAAATTTATTTAAAAGTGAATTGTGAACAGGTTGAAAATGAGAGGATAGAATTCTTGATAAACACATAATTCAGAAATTAAAATACAGGTGATCCAAACGTGATTTTATTGCCAATAACAAATTAATGGGAATGAATACTTACACGTTATATAGCCATCAATAACCTCTGTTTCCATAGTCAAAGTGCAGTGCTGCAACACAAAATATTATACCCTTAACACAATGATTCCTTTCAGTATCTTCCATTAAATGCTTAACTTACTTGAAGCACCAAGCAGTTAGCCCATGATTCTGCTGCAACCTGTACCCAAGAAACATACTACAGTGTACTCTATGTGCTCATTTGCAAGTCACTGAACTCTTTCTGCAAATGATCTGATTCCTTCTGGAGATAGGATAGGAAAGATAAGTGTGCTGTGAGATGGGCTGTAGCAAGAAAGGAATGACCCTCTTACTATGAATTTACTTGGCTTAATGAGAAAAACTAGGGAGGGTACACCTCAAATGTGCCACTTTTAATTGGACTTGAAGCATTTTACCATTCAGTACTTCCCACAGTTTGAGGACTTCCCTAGCACACAGACAGCTCTATTCACAATTGTTGCAAGTTAGTTCATCATGTTCTAATAGGGAGGGGGGAAGACACACAACATAAGAAAACAAAACAAAATGTAGTGCCCAAGTGTGTCTGGAAGGTTTCTGCAGTTACCCAACTCCCAGACTTGTATTGACATTTTAGCCTACCCCAAGTTATGCATAAGCACCTGTTCAATGTAACCTTAATTTCCTGCCAGATCATGGTTGGATACAAATGCCAAGCCTACTTAATACATAACGATTTTGAAAATTTCATAAACTTCTTGCTGTGGGGAAGGGCATCACTTTTTTTTAAAGTTTGGGGAATTATTTTCATGCACCAGTGACACAAAACAAGAACTTAATTTCTCAGAAACAAAAGTAAATTGTATGAGATGACACCCCCTAGCTTTGATTTCACATAATGAAAAGATCGATAAGCTAACTGTATCCTTTGAAGGAAAAAGTTTAAAGAATTGACATGTCCTGAGGAGATTTTTACTTATTTTTTTTTTCCTTTGGCCCTGGTCCTTTTTGCCTTTAGTTTCAAAACTCTCACTGCACCAGCAGCTAAATTATTCACAATGAGCCATTTCTGTATTGATCGCCAAGTATATTTAGCCCTGGCTCCTGGAATTTCTCCATTACTTACTGGAAAACAGGCAGCTTCACTTCTTGTCTCCAAAACCACTTCCCTTCTCCCCCCCCTCCCCTTCTTCACCACCACTCTCCCTACCCCCCAAAAAAACTTTTCTTTCTTTCTTTATGGAATAATCAGATCAAATTCCCAACTCAGTCACTACATAAGCACTTAAATTTCAACCTGCTGTACTGTTATCAAAATTCTTCAAATTATGATTACACAAGGCTTTAAAGAAAGGCATCCGTAAAGTTTAAAAGGGGAGCAGTTTCTTCGGATATTTTACAAATGAGTTTATCTCTTTAAAAATGTACACATTTAACACATACATATTAAAAAGAAAGAAACGTCAGGGAGAAGCGAAAGAAGTCTGCCCCATCAGTGAAATGGCTATTAACCCTCAGAGAAGGAAAGAGATAAAGAAAAGGAAAAAGAGAAACGAAATGTACATACAAAAGAAATTGTCCTTTGATTAAAAAAGATTCATCACCATTTCCAGCTCTGTCGGGAGATCTCAGCTTCTTCTAACCCCTCAAAGAGGTGACAATGTCGGGCTGAAGATAAACGGAGAGAGAAAGAAAGAAGTTTTTTGTGTTTCCCCCTTCTCTCTTCCCTCCCTTGCCCCTTCCAAGCCAAGCCCCCTGCAGAGTTCAAGGCGAGGAGGAAGGAAAAGCACTTTACAGGTGGGTCATTCCGAGCCCAAATCCAGCAAACAGATCGGCTGATAAACAAAACCAAGAAATGAGAGAGAAGGAACACCCCCCTTCTCCTCCTCCTCCTCCTCCTCCCACCCCTCCCCCTCGTCCCTTTGGGATGGTCTAGTAGGAAAAGTCACTCAGGAATGGCACCACGTACTTTCAGGAAAGAGGAAAAAAAAGAGAGAGAGAGAGGTCAGTCAGTGCTACAGCAATGCGATTAACAAGAGAAAAAACTTGATCCACCGGTTCCTTAAGAATCGACCAAAAGCTAAGACAAGAAAACTGAAAGAAAAGGTGGGGGGGGCGGGGGGTAAGAGGGGAGGGACAGTCAGGCAGAGCCCAGCAAGGAACCTAGGCCAGCTACTTCACAGGACTGTTTTTCGCCCTTGGCAAAAAAAAAAAAAAAAAATTAAATCTTAATTCCATCTCCTTCGCCCATACTAGAACCTGTCAAAGTGATTTAACTGCTGCCTTTTTACATGTGTCATAGCTGTTTGTGTTTGCTTTTTTTTTTTTTTTTTTTTAGATTTCAGCAGGATCTGGATATTACCTTCTATCTGGACAGCTGCAATTTATTCCAGGCTCCCCAACCTTTCTTGGAATTCAAGTTAAAACAAAGCAAAACAAGTCCAAATCCATGACAGCTACAGGGACGAAAATTGATTAATCGATTAACATCCCAGAAAGATTATAAAGAGGGGACGATAAATTAAGGCAGAAGATATCATCTTCAACACGATTCCCTGAGCGTCCTTTACAGAAATAATTACGCTAATCATAACGACAATCCACCCCTCCCAGAGAAAGATAAATTATTATTACTGGTTAACAGCAACAAGTCATTTGATCACATCGGTGCAAAACGAGATGCTATACAATTACACTTAACTTTGAAAACACCCCCCCTTTGCAAATCAAATACACATATTTATATATAATCCATGAATCAGAAGACAAATAAAACAAGAGCTGTCCTTCACGCAAAAGCCAAGCGGAGATTTACCTCAGTGCATGCAGTAAAATAATCCCATCACCCTTTTGTTTGTGTTTACTGTTAGTGTGTCCTCTCTCTTTCTTTCTTTCCTGTGCCTAACGTGTGTTTGTGCACTGCAGTTGGTGGTGGAAACTAAGGCAGTGGCTCTGTAGCTAAGGGTAATCCTGTTTTTACTTCCTCCATCTTCAGCGAGGAGCAGGGTTAGCCCGGGACAGCTGGTCAAACCCCGAGAAACCGATCCGCCGGAGCCCGAGCACATCTCCCCCGCCGGCCGGGCTCGCGCAGACGCCCGCGGGCGGAGGGCGGCGGGCGGCGGGGCCCCCGGAGCTGGCAGCGTGCGTGCGTGCGCGCGCGCGCGTGTGCGTGTGTGCGGGGCCCCGGCGCCGGTGCGTGTGTGTGTGCGCGCGCGCGCGGGCTGGGAGTGCGCGTGTCTGCGCGCTGGGCCGCTCGGCGCGCTCGGCAATCGATTACAGGACAAGTGCTGCCCCGCGGCTCCGCGACGCGCGCACTCCCTCGAGCCCACCCGCGCGCCCCGCCGCGGCGCCCGTGCCCTGAGCCGGCGGACCCCGCCCCCGCGGGGACCAGGTAACCCACTTCCGAGAGTCCCCGGAGACCCCGTCCCACGCCCCCTCGGAGTCGTAATAAATCTCACGTTTTCTGCTGGCTGGAAAGGAAGGATTGGAGCGGCAAGGGGAGGTTCATTTCTGCCGCGTGAAGTTCTCTTTCCGACTGGGATTTGCGGAGAGGCCGGGCGAAGGGAGGCGGACGGCGATGCGGACGCCCGACGCCGAGCTCCGGGATCGGCGTCCCGGCCGGAATCGGGGTGTGCGCGTGGACCCACCCACTCAGGCTTCGCAATAAACTATGCGGTACAGATTCAGAAAACGGCCGGAATAGACCAGGACACGAATCAGGATGCAGGGATTCTCGGGAATAGATTGAGAAGGAAATTCAGGTCTGGGATGAAGCTCAACTATTGCTATTTTGAAAACGCTTTACAGTGCAAGTTTAAAATTAGAGTGTGCACTTGGTTTTACTCCCCCGGGTATGTGCCACATACACCAAAGCCAGGGGAACGCGGGAGGGTCCTCAAAGTTGTTTCGAGTAAAGTGTTGCCCATCACTAGCATCATTTAATTATAGCAGAGCTTTTTTATTTTTGAAGAACTTACATGGGTCGTCATGAGAAAAACAAATTTATGTTCTTTCTACAAATAGTAGCATTTAGTATCTTTCTTGACCACGTTTGCAAAAAGAGGGAATCGAGACTTCTATAATTAAAGGGAAAAGGAAAATGAAAGGAGCTGAAAATACTGAACTGTGTAGTCTGGATGGCTTAAGTTTGAAAACACGAAATTATCAGGACTGCAAACAGCATTTCTGAGAAACCATATCACAGATTGTGAAGAAAATCAATGCTGAAAGAGTAGGAGCAGACATCGTACTCCTACTCCTTTTAAGAATCCCAGAAATAGTTGGTGAGGTTTTTTTCTGCTGAGGAAAGAGAAATGCTACATTGAAGATAAAATCTTCAGCTGTGTCTTAAGCACTACTCTCTACAATCTGGGAAATTTTGGATAATGACTTTTCTTTAGATACTGGGTTGTGGAAGGAATTAATTCACATTAATACATACTAAATAATGGATACCATATAACTTTTAATACCATATTTAAGTTTTACAATGAATTACTACTTAAAAATTATATTTAAGTGACAATTGTACCAATAGGCTGCTTTTTAAATTATGGGAAATGATAACTGGTGCCATTACTGCAAACAGTTTTCATTGGAAAGCAAATCATTTGCACTCAGGCTAGCAACAACTTTATGACATTTTTTTAAAAATTGCAGTTCCTCTGATTTACATACTGATCAAACGGGTTCTTTTTTAACCTAATCATCAGTTATCTAAATAAAAATAATTTTCCTAAAGTCATATTTGGGAAAGACTGAGTGTAGAACCTCACAAATCATTCTAATCATCCCAATAGACAGCAAAGATTTTAATCTTAAATTACCCTAAAAATTGGAATGTTCATAATATATAAATTCCCAATATATAAAGGGTATTATAACTTATCTAAATTGCCATAAATCCTTCCTAAAACTAAGCCTGTTTATCTGCAGTTAGGTAGGTCCTTAGAAAACAAATTAAAACATATTCAATATTAAGATGAAATAAGTGGATAGTTTAACCAATTTATGTCATTGAAGAGGACCCATTGTGAAGTCTTTAAGGAAACATCCTCAAGTTTCCCGAAGCTACCACAGTTGATATTGTCCTCGCCCCTGGCTGATTAGAAGCTTAATTTAGCTCCCTTGAAAGCCTATACTTTTTAAGTTACTTTCATTCGTTCCCTAACCACCAGAGGCACACTCTCCCCCTCTAGTGGCTAAATGTTCAGACACTTCACACGTGGCGACCCCGTCTCCCCAAGAACTGGGGATTTGGACAGGGAACAATGGCTCCCAAATTTTAGAATGGCAAAGGTCTCATGACCACTTGTGAGATCATTTTGGGAAATTTCCCACTTTGTAACATTCTATGTTCCTTTCACATTTGCAGATCATACAGCCAGCTCACCCCAAAGAAGTCGAGCTAATGTTTACATAACAAGACTAGGGACTGGTTCTGTTGGTTCTTTGGCAGTCAGATAGGCCAGGCTCGGGATCACAGTTCCACTTGTGCGGAGGAACCTTTGTATAAACTAGTAATTCACTTTTTTCTCAATTTTTCTCAACAGTATTTTTATACTAGAAGATACATTTATCTCCATCCTTTGCCATAACTACACTGTACACATTTGAAAAAAACATACATAGTTATGCATTGAAGTGTAGCAACAGGGAAGTGCAGACCCAGATTCTTTGGTCACTATATCAAGTTAGACAGTTAAATTTTCACTTTGGGGTGAGCTGAGGAGATAGGGAAAAAACACCCCCCACCATTGTTCATGTAGCTGGTTCTTTCTCATCCTTCTGTCCCATCCTACCAAAACTGCACCTTCCTGGCACCAACCCCTATCTTAGCACCTTGCACATGTCCTTCATTATACAATTTGTAAATATTTTATTCATTTGTTCAGTTTTTAAAAGAAAATCTCTCTCCCCCACTAGAATATCATCTTTTTTAAGGACAGGGATTATGTCTGTCCTGCTAACAATTGTTTTCTCAAAACTAGCACAGTGTTTGGCATTCATTAATACACATATGCATGTGTTAATCTCCATTTTCAAGGGACAGAAGGTGTAGGGTATCAAAGATACATTCTAATTCTGTAAAGAATTTGGCCAAATGTTGGCTCATAAGTAATGTTACAAATATCCTTAGCAGGTCCTCTCTGATTTATAGTCAACATGAAAAATGTGAATGCCTTAGTAGATAATATAAATTGTTTAACTAGTAAAAGTGGCTAAAATTGTATATCAAATATAATTCTGAATAAAATATATTTATGTGACTCCTGTGTTTTATAAGCAAATTATCTCATGTTAATGCCTGATCATTCATGAACCAGGGTGACTGTGAAGGAAGGCAACAGATTAATTCTATAACCACTAAGTACAATTAGTAAAAGAAAATTTTATAAGGCAGTGTAGCTAAAAGGTACATTATAAAGTATTTTGTTTTCTTTGGTGGTTTATTTTATTGTTTGAGATCTTAAAGCCCTAGTACCCTTTAATGGAATTTGGATAAAAGTGTATTTTTGTTCATTCACAGAGTTAACCCCATGTTTTCAAGTCTTGGTTTTATCTTTCACAGATAGTTAATGGGGACAATTCAAAACTTTGCAATACTTTCCTAATGTCGAAGAAGTTTTTGGAAACAAATTACGTATTAATTTTTTTGGCCTGATCATGGTAGATATAGAACATAATCACCCAGGGTAGGTGCCCTATAATAACTTGAGTCCCTGAAAAGGTTAAGATTAACAAGCACATATAGGCACAATGTTTTAAAACTGATAATTTGTTTTATTTTTGTCAGGTGTTGTGTTCCTCTTTGAAATGGTATTCTCTTTCTAAGTGGGAAATGGAACAATGGTCTCACTTTCTTCTGTCGACCTAGATTGGCACTAAGAAGAAGCAAAGAAACCTGAAATGGAACCATAGTTTCAAAGAAAATACTCTAAAGATCCCAAATCCAGTTCATAAGTAAGGCATATTACCACCTCCCAACTTGGCCTCCCTGACTACATTGATAGTCGAGGGTCCATCCTTGTGGAATGCGAATCCCACATGCATTCTATCCACCATGAACAATAGTTTCTTTTAATAATTTCTAAGAGTGTCACTTGCAATTAGAGATAAGGCTCTTGTGCAAATACCCAGTCCCTAGAAAAGATAATATTATGACTGAAATTCATGCTTTGATAGAATATCAGATTTCTTCTAGAGGGCTCATTTTGATGTGAGAGCAGAAGATAAACTAGCTCTAGCCCAAATGAGAATTATAAATTGTAAGAGTTAAACTTAGACCATGGGGGTGAGGACTAGAGAGGTTTCTAGGTAAAAATGAAAACACACATTTTTAAAAGTTGCCGTTAAAAATCCATCATAGTTGCTTTAAAATTCAGGTATGTTCAGCATTTGTAGAAATGAGTTCCATTAATGTAAAATGAAGGAACTTTGAGCTGGCTCAAGTATAGATAGCAAATGCTCAAAAAACAACCCTATAAGGCATTGGGAAAAACATTCTAAGAAACCCTAAAATTATCCAATACAAGAAGTATAATGAGGTTATTGGAACCTGCAGTAAAATATTAGTACAAGAAAAGAAAAAGATGATTCAACTTTTTGAAGATGCAGCTCACAAAATAAGAGAACAGTATAATGAGCACATATTATCTAGTGATCCGTAATTTAGATACAAGATAATAAACACTCTCTGGGGAAAGAAGGAAAACCAAAAGAGGTCATTTGACTTTGGAATTGAGAGGTGAAAGTAGGACAGACTAACCCAAAGATCTATTGTACCAACAGTTGGATTCTGCTGGAAATATCCATAGTCTAAAGCAGAGTGATGGTAAGTTGCATCTCAAGAGAAATATTTGATAGTTAAACCAGTGCAATAGGCATATTATCCTGTTTTATTTTTAACCTGCAAAAAGCTCATGGAATTACATGCCCAGTGTTTGTGAGAAGCCTCAACTCTTTGTAAACCAAAATTATTTCACAGTACTGCAAAGTCTAATCACATATTTAAG